TGGGGGGGGGGGAGTGGTGGGGTGGGGTGGGGAACCTTTGGCCGAAGAACCTTCGATGCCAAAATTAGAATTTTGAGAGAAAAGTGTTTAGGGAATTTTTTGAGTGTTTAGCAAGAGTCAAGACCTAGGTTTTTAGAGGAAAGGAGGTTGAATACATAGTGCATGGCCCGTCCCTTTGGGAGAGAAGGTGACATGCCTTTTGTGTTTTTTTTTTTTTTGATGTAATTGGTGGTTTAATTGGCCATTAATAGATTAATTAGGTAATAAATTCATTAATTAGCCAATTAACATAATTTAAAAGAAATGTTTTGGGGGTTACCTTGTGGAGAGGATTTGATGAGGATGGATGAAATAGGTTTAAAAATAAATACCTATTTGGGCACTTTTGACTTGATTGTGGGATGTTTGTCCACTGCTCACGCGTAGGAATTCCGGTGCTCCTCAAGGGTAATTTTGTTCTTTTTTCCCCAAAATTCACGTGTCCCCTCTTGATTATTTTTGGCTCCACATGAATAGTATCCAGAAATGACTTTTTAGTGTAAAAATGTGGTTTTTTTTAAAAATGAAAAGTACCGAGAGTTTTTCGTTAAAGTTCCCTAATTTAAATTAATTCATCCATGTTACAGGAGACGAAAATGTTGATGCTTTGTGCCTCAATTGTCCCACATCGGGAAACCAAGTTCTCCAATACGCTTAATATTAGGTTTGTCTCTTATATGAGTAAACAAACAAAGCAATTCGCCATAATTTGACAATCATCTTCTACTTCTTCTCCTTCTCTTTCGTATATAAACTTTCAGAGAGTAAACATAGAAAACAATTCGTCATAATTCTATAATTGCACCGGTTTATAGGATTTGATAGTTGTATCTTGGTCAGGCAGACATCATCGAATTACAAGTACAAGAGTGAAAAGAAAATACTATTCAAAGGACATAGCGTTGCTAGCCTCTATTGACACACCCCAATCGAGATCAGGGCATACTGGCAGTCACGATAAATCCTCTGTCCTACTACAGGTGCCGCGACAACCTTTACCAAGTCCGAACGATTGTCGACCACCAGATCTGCTGGTCTGCAATATTCACCCTAGCCCACAAGCACAAATCCTCGGTGGAAGTGACGTAGCCATGTGCACAGTGCGGAAGCTAATAAAATAATAATAAAAATAATACGAATAAATAAAATTCAGCTTAACACAAGGTAACAACATACATGTGCAAGCAAAGTGTGAAAACAAAGTTCAGAGCACGAAGACCTAATGCAGTCCGGGAGAAACTGACACGACAAAAGCACACCTAAAGGTGGTCCTACACTGGTGGTAGTCTGTCAGATATGCCGGGGAAATCCTCGGGGAAGCCACCAAACGTGCTAGCCAACTAGAACCTGGAGGGGCGCAAAACAGAAAGTGTGAGTGGGCAAAAACAAAGCTTTTCAAAAACCATTTCAAAACAAGTTCTAACCCCTCGCCGTAAAACCCGTATGCTTCCCAGAAAGAATATAATATACATATATACAAGTCATGCTCAGAAATATGTCGTGCCATATGCCTCGAAGTAAAATGCAAGTGCTCAGGAAATGCCAAATCCAATGCCCTAAAATTTGTCAGCCGGAGTCACCTAACGTGACCTGTACGGCTGAATCTAGAGCTCAAATCTCCATCTCGCTAACTATACCTGCACACGAGTCGGAACCACCTAAAGTGGTCTGTACGACAGGCCTGGGTGTAATATAAGTACGCTCAAGTGCTACGATCACGTGAAGGCTGGACGAATAATCGCGGGTCACCTACGAGTCGGAACCACCTAAAGTGGTCTGTACGACAGGACTATGCACCCAACTTGGATCCAAGATGAGCGTATGGTGCGGGAGGTGAACATCACGTGAAGGACTGTGCCCTACTCTGGGCGGGAGCACTAACACCGGGGGTGTAGGTTATGAGCTCTCTATGTATCTAGAATCACTACTGAACGTAAATATAAATCATACTCACCTGGCACTTACCTGTGAGTCCGCAGCGCCAAACATATATATATATATATAACTAATAATGCATAAATGATGGCAAACAATAAACATGGCATATAAACGACTAAACGTTTCAAATCAATTTCTGGGAAAACATGAGTATATAGGTATATACGGAAAACCAAAAGCCCACTCACTGGTATGTAGAAGGGTCGTAACCCCCTTGCCTCAAGTGACCGCGCTCGTCCTCGGGATATGTATCACCTATATGCGAAACAACTACAAAAACGTTAATTTTAAAACACATAACCAACCTTATGAAATAACTTCTCATACAATGCTCAAATAGGGTGTATGAATACACCAACGTGATCTACTCAACCTTAGAAACATCCCCATATTTTTAGAAAAAATTTTCACCGTCGCACGCCCCCCCACGCGCCGGCCACGCGCAGGCACGTGCCTGGCACGCTGACGGGGTCAATTAACGCCATCAGGAATATTCCGTTAACTTTAACGGATTCCGTCAACGCCGTTAGGAATATTTCGTCAGTTTTGACGGAATATTCCGGCGTCTTCTTCGGCGAGGCTCCGGCGCCGGAAAATTGGGAAAACTTCAAATCCTCCTATCTTCTTCATTTTTCAACCAAATTTCACAAAATTGGTACCAAATTGAAGCTTACAACGAGAGGAACAAGTTCATACCACTTTCAAGTGCTAAAATCCACGAAATCTCGCCGGGAAAACACCACCAACTCCGGCCAACCTCGAAACTCACGATCCCGACGTCTAAAACCTTCAACGAACCACCCCGAGCCTCCTAAGGACCTCACCAAGCTTCCTACAAGCTTGAAATTCCCAAAAACACAAGAATTAACGTGTGCATGAACAGTGACAAAATCGTGGTATCTCGAGTTCGACGTGAAAACGAAGGTATCCTTACCTGAAATGGGTATGGTTGAACTTCTACGGACCTCACGAGCATGGATATGTACTTTGTTTCTTCGATCTGTGGAGATTTGGGTGGTTTCTAGGTATGTCCGTACAAATGGAGGGGAAATTGGGAGAGAGAAGGCTCGGGACAGAGGGGTGCAGGGCAGGGAATGGTGAGGGTGTGTGTGTGGAAATGTGTGTGGTCCACAACCAGCCACACCAAGCTCAAAACAACCACACAACGTAAAAATCACACTAAGGGCAAAATCGTCCTTTCACACGTACGTTTTAAAAATTTTCGGAACGGGCTGTCACATCTATCAATCAAGTTAGTATCATTTTTGTTTCCATAACTATATTATAATTTTCATTTTGTATTGTTAAGTATTTCAATAATAAAGATTCGATTATTTTCCAAATTATGTTATTATTTATATTCTAAATTGTTCTCCAACAAGAAATTCTAGCTTGGGTGCTCAAATTGTAGCACACTACTATAGTCAATTTAACTAAGGGCCAGTTTGGAATTGATCTTAAAAAAAAATTGTTTTCTGATGTGCTTTAAGAATAATCAGCTATAAGCAGGTGAGTGTTTCATAAATTGTACTTTTAAAAGTGTTGTAAGTATGAAAAGCAGTGTAAAAACATTTGGTAAATTTTAATGTAAAAACAATATAATCATATATAAGTTATAACGACAAAAATAGCCATGGTAGTAAGAGCGTTACAATGGTAACGGTGGCAAGGGTTGTGGTTGTGATGTAATGGTGCTAATAGTGATGTGTAGTGGTTGGGTTGCATATATAACAATGGTGGTAGGGGCAGCATCAACATTGATAGTTGTTCTTGTGGTTGTGGTGACAATGGTAGTGGCGGAGGTTGTTTTATGGTATTGGTGATGGTAGCAGTTATGGTTGTGATGGTTATTGTAGTGGTCGTGGCGGAGCGATTATGGTGCGGTCGTGATGGGAACAATGGTGGTGATAACGACAGTGGTAGTGTAGAAGGTTAGGGTTCGTAGTGATAGGTGGTGGTGATCACTTTATTCTTCAAGTATAAAATGTGTCTAGAAAAATAAATAATGTTATTTTTAAAAATTAATAAGAGTATTAGATGAATTAGAACTGCACTTTGCAAGGTAGCATAGGCATTATAGGCGGCATAATAAGTAGAGACAAGGCGCCACTGATCGTATGCCATTGCCCAAGGTTTAAAAGAAATTATTTAGCTTCGAAACCCTAACTCCTTAACTTACATTCTCCCTTAGAGGGATGAACTCATTTTCCTACTTGTAAATAACATATCTTCATCATAGAGATTCATAATCTGAAGCGTTCAATTTCTTAATCTTCTTTTGAGAGTCATCTTTAGAAAAAAAAAAAAAAACATTTGAACCAAATATTGTTTAGTCATATAAATGTGTCAAATAAATTAACAGTGTATGCAAGTATATTCATGATAAACCGTTGATTTATTCCAAACATTTTTTAGATGAGTATATGATATCTAATTCGAATGATTATTTATATGGATGATTCAAATGAAAATTAGAAGAATAAACGGTTCCGATTATAAAAGTTTTACGGTGAAGATACATATGAACAAGAGGGAAAATGAGCTCATCCCCTAAATAGGGAAAGTATTGTTATGCACACATCCATTTTTATTTCTCACATGCTTCTTTCACTTTTTACCCATCAAATCGAATAAATTGAAAAAAAAAATCAATGTCTAATTTTATATTTTATAAGGGTGTGTTGAAGTTAAAAACAAGTGTCTAAAAAACACTTTCCAATGAAAATCATTTCCAATTTATAACCTCCAAATTGCAATTACCAAAATGACATGATTATTCTTTCCTTTTTTTTGGGGTACATGGGTCACACCAACACGTGGATAAAAAATTTCTTCTGTTTTTCTGTTATTGTTTTTGGTACTTTTACAGAGGATGTAAAATTAATTGCAAAACTCCCGTTACTGCAGAGAGCACAATCGGTTACAACGTCTTCGTCTCCTTCTTCTTCTTCCTTCTTCAATCGAGAGTATCAGTTAGTTTCAGACTTGATCGAGCTCCGAAACCGCTCCCGTGATCTAGCTCGCCGCCACTCAGTGAAATCCGCTCGAGCTCTGCGCCCCTTTGTTTTCTGCTGCACCGGAAAAACATGCACAGCCGGCCGTCGCACAACCGGCTATCTGGCTCGGCTTTCCACTCTCGGATTTCAGCTCTCTTGCTCGCCATGGTCTCCACCATGGCCGCCATCTACGTCGCCGGCCGGTGAGTTTCTCAATTTTCGAACTTTGCTATTTCGTCTGTGATTAGAGCTGTTCATAATTTAAATTTTGGATTTTTGTGAAAAAGTTTGGTTTTTTATTTTTGATGAATGTTTGATGGGGTGTGTGGTGTGTTGATAGATTGTGGCAGGATGCTGCCGATAGGGTTTATTTGATTCAGGAGCTTGATAAAAGAAATGGTCAGGTAACCTTAGTTTTTCGGTTTTTGTTAATTTTTGTTTTTGTCCAAGTTTTTACCTTTTAATTTCAGTTCAAATCCCTCATGCAAACAGTAATATGTTGCTGCTTATATGAATTCAATCTAAGAGATTATGAATTAGGCAGATAATCGTTAATTTTCGATTTTTCAGGGTCAATCTGCTATAGCCGTAGACGACACACTTAAAATTATAGAGTGCAGGTACATTGATCCAAGCTATTCTGTAAAAGGTGGCATTGTTGAATTTTGAGAATTTGTGATATTGTCTTTGCTGTGATGAATGATGGTCGTTTTCTAGGGAGCAACAGAAGCAGTTGTCCGCCCTTGAGATGCAACTGGCTGGGGCAAGACAGGAAGGTTTCGTTCCAAAGAGCTTGTCGAAAAATGAGGGGGCTCATTCTAAGAAGAAGCTTTTAGCTGTTATAGGAATTATTACAACATTTGGCCGCAAGAAGAATAGGGAGGCAATTCGTAAGGCGTGGATGCCGACAGGTACCTCCTGAAAATATTGTTGTACTTTTCTTTTGTCTTTTGTGCAATTTTATGCATTATAGTATTATCCACTCCTACCAATTTTCTAGTTACAAATGTTTTGGCTTGCGATGGTGAACCAAACTTCTTCTGGTGGTTATAGTAATTTTATGTATATATGTGCAGGTGAAGCTCTAAAAAGATTGGGAGATGAAAAGGGCATCATTGTGCGATTTGTAATTGGAAGAAGGTCTGTATATTGATGATTTAGAATGATGACAAGGAATTGTCTACATCTGTTCAGTTAAGCATGTGTATCTTGCAGCCCAAATCGTGGAGACAGTTTGGACAAGGAAATAGACAAGGAAAATGACCAGACCAACGACTTTATTATTCTGGTATGTTAAGCATTTGAACAATTCTGTTTTACATATATTTGGTGGGATCTTTTGGTTGGATGAAATTTCGTATTGTAGAGAACTTTTTTTTATTACTATGCACGTGTGATTCTATTTGGATTTCTTAAGAAGTTAAGTCCTGTGAAAGATACAAGATGGTGTCTGAGGCTTTGAGCAATAGCGGGGGTTGGCATAGAGAGTAAGTGATGACTAGTTAGAGTATGACTAAGTGATGGCTAGTTTGTAGTTATGAACTAGCCAATGTAACCTGGATTGTAGTTCAAGGAAAGCTGGCTGTGCATTTCGTATTTTTAATTCTTGTATCGTGCTCATGTGTCATGGCCCTCAACTAAGATTTATGCTCATCCTTCGTGGTTGATTCAAGAATCATATATGGGATAGCTGAAATTGCTATAGGCAGATAAGTTTATGTCACATTGTTGTTGAAATTGTTCTTCTACTTTACAGGATGATCAAGTGGAGGCATCTGAGGAGCGGCCAAAAAAGACAAAATCATTCTATATTCATGCTGTAGAGAACTGGGATGCTGAATTTTATGTTAAGGTCAATGATGATGTTTATGTTAATCTTGGTATGTAGTCGTAGTATAATTCTTTCTAGTAAACAAGAAGATAGTTAATCCTCATGAGACTTTTGTTATACCTGCATAACATTAGATTGTGGTAATTAATTTGGATAATACTAGTTAACAAACATGTACTTGCTATTGGAGAAAACCAAAGAAACCGTCAGACAAGAGCATAGGTATATGGTTATCTAGTCATGATCTCAAGTGAAGTGTTCGTTTCTATCTCAGAAATCAAAGCTGCATATATAATTTCAATTTGAGGATTGGAATTTGTTGCCATTGTTTTACCAATAGAACCTTTCTGCAAAATGCTGCAATTGTTTGTCTAACTTCAGAGTGGCATAGATTTGGACGCCACTGGGTATAATTGATAAGTCATGGCGGAACCAAATATATTGATAACGGGGTTATTGAAAGTTAAGGACAGCAATATTTGGCTGTTAACCATATCAGAAAAATTAATGCCCCTAAACAGATAATTTGAAGTGCATACTAATATTTGGCTTTTACTTTATTATTGATTCAGATGTCCTGGGAGCAACTCTAACTACTTATATAGATAAGCCTCGTGTCTATATTGGGTGCATGAAATCAGGCGAAGTCTTCTCTGAACCGTAAGTGCTGAAAGCATACTTTATTTGATGAAAGCTTTGAAATTATGAGTCATTTTAGAATAGATATAACATGTTTTTTGTGTTGTCTTAATTACACAGAACACACAAGTGGTATGAGCCAGACTGGTGGAAATTTGGCGATGCAAAATCGTAAGCACAGATAATGTCTATTTAATGAGATATGTAAAAGGCTCTTTTAGATTGACATGGCCTGTTAGAGTAGCCCAGAAAAATATTATCCTAAAAAACAAACATGTGTAATAAACGCTGATGATTGGTTTTTTCTATAGTGCCTTGGTGATTTCTTCGTATAGACTGTTCTACGTGATATTGGATTGCCTAACAATGCTGGAAGGGTGACCATTAGTTCTTTATAGGGAAAAACGTATTTCTGAAAATGTTTGTTAGCTAGGTAAGTAGGATCAAAAGGTGTAAAGCTGATTATTTGGTTTTCTCTATATGTCCTGTATATAGAGGATTCTCACCTGAACAATCATGGTAGGCATTAGGTCGTTAGTCTTCAAGTACTGAAGCAATTCATAATAGCATTTGAATTTGCTGCTTAAATTCCCAGGTTTTACTGTGTAATATTTCATTTGGTTTCCGATGCAGATACTTTAGACATGCTTCTGGTGAATTGTATGCCATTTCTAGAGCCTTAGCTCAGTTTATATCAATAAACAGGTGCTTCTGCCGCCTCTTTCCTTTTTTTCCTGTTTCAATAGTATCGTGTAGCATGCTTACAACCTTGGGAGGATTTAGTTTATAGCTTTCTGTTGGTTTGCAGGTCTATACTACGTGCTTATGCTCATGACGATGTTAGTGCTGGATCATGGTTTATTGGGCTTGATGTGAAGCACATTGATGAACGGAAATTTTGCTGCTCCTCTTGGATGCCAGGTCTGTTGGTCTTTTTCGTCTAGTACATAACAAATCAATACAAACATAATAAAACTTCTCCTGATCATAACAATCTTGAAAAGACCATTGAAGTATAACTATTTTTTTAATATCAAGGCAAGAAATCATCTTGCTGCGGTTGACTCGCTTCTAAACCATTTTCTTGGAAAATACTTGTTGAAAAGGGAAGTTAAATTTAAATAATTAGAAAAACACAACTAAGGACAAATAAAGAAACAGTGAGAGGGTCTTTAGATGCTCAATGCCATTCAATATGGTTCTCTGCCTTCACTGCGGCAATTATGAGAGTGATAAATTTGAATTTGATGATTTTCGTTATTCATCTGTGTACTTTCATTTCAGGAGCAATATGTACAGCCGTGTAATCTAACATGCCCAACAACTATTGATTCAACCAGTACATTGTGAAGGGGAAGGCCCTTCGTTTAGAGCAATGCCTTCTTCGACCAGATGATTCAAGCAGTACAGAATGATTTATTCTGCCCCAACTTGATTCGAGCAGCCTTGAGCAAAGAGGTTACGTTAGAATTGATTTCTCTATGCTGCTGGTCGAAATTCTCTCGGAAGTTCCAGATGCTGTTAGCATAGTTTTCGCCCTCGTAGTTACTGAAAGTCCGGTGTCATTCTTACTTTTTCGTCATACCTGCATCAGTACCGTAAGAGTTCACCTTTGAATTTCACTAATTTAACATCTATACGTATGGAACGATTACTAGAGAGACAATTTTTGGTTGTTGATAATATACGAACTTGGTGCAAGCATTGGTTTCATAGTGGTAACATTGCAGTGCTTATAACTTTTCAGTTACTGCCAGTTAGTTAGGGAATGATTTGAACATGACTTGAACCTGTCACGAAATTAACCGATTTAAGGTTGAATGTTACTTCATAAGAACCTATGAGGGAATACACTAAACGAACTTAATTACGCTCAAATTAATTAAGAATTTTTTTTTTTTTATCTGTAAAAAGCTGATTGTGTAAACTTGGGATTAATCAATTAATCAATTCAATTCAGATTTTAGTTGATTAATCTGAAGTTATAAGCAAACTTTTATCAACATTACAAAACAAAATCGACTAGGAAAAAAAAAACAATTAAAAGCTTAAAACAAAAATTAATCAAAACAAAATAAAAAAGACTATGATTTTGGTACGAATAACGGTTTGTGGCGGGGCCCACAGACCGGTACAACATTTAAAAACGACAGTCCCGTGAAGAGGACCATCGGCCAATGTCTCTACACGTGTACGGTTCAGAATAATAGTGCCACATCGATCATTTGGGCCAATCCTATTAACCCAGTTTACAACCAGACCGGCCGGTGTACGACCCCATCGAAGCCAAAATTTTCCATCTAAAACGCGGGAAAATTGAGGAGCTAGGGTTAGGTTCTGTTGAGGCTTCTTCAAAATTACTGCTTTGATTTCATTTCTCCTCCCTTCTGAAGATTTCCGAAGATTCAGGTACATTGCAATTGCCTCTTATGTTTTGGTAGAATTTCATATATAAATATATATATATATATATATAATATTTGTGTACGACTCGGAATATAAATGTGGAAGCTTTCCGGATCTCTGAATTTTGCAGATGCATGAATGGGGAAAATTTAAAATTTCAAAGTTAATTGTGGAAGATGACAATTTTTAATATTTTTAATTAAAAAGAGGGGGAATTATTTGGTGTGCAATTGATCCGATTTTATCAATTAGAAATTGTGGGACAATTTGGGAACAGTAAAAGTAGAAACTAATAGGCATGAGGAAGGTGAATTCATGAGATAGTAAGGTGAATTCTGTGTGTGTTGCATGTGTTGATTGAAATGATAAAGCTTCTGTTTTTGGTGAAAACGGTCAAGGTTTTTTTTTTTTTTTTTCGAAAATGGTCAAGTTTTTTGTTTGTTTGTTTGTTAAATTGTGGAATTTTTCATTCAGTTATTTGGAATCGGGTTAATTGAGTTCAGCTGAAGCGTGTAGTAATTCGAAATCTGGATTTTGTCTTTATAGGTGTGTCCCTGTTGTTAATTTGTTTTGAAATAATGTCATGGAAGCAAATGAAAGAAAAAAAGGATGGTTATTAAATTTTCATTGAACAATATATTTGTGTAGTTTTACATTCCCAATGTGAAAATGCAGCTGTGGAGAGTAACTTGATGGTTAGCTACCCGTCACAGTTTCTTTAAGCACAGGAAAGGCCTTCTAAAATGTTGGACAACATGGACCAAGATGTAACAAAGAAGTTGAAGGGATCGGATGGAACTGCAGTGCCAGTTGGATATGATAGTCCCAAGGACGGGAACCTAGTCCTTGAGGCATCAAAGAGGTTCCTTCTTTATTCTTTTTTCATTCACATTGGGGCTAACCTTCGTACAGGACAAAATTGAGATTATGAACAGTCAGCTTCCTGTTGGTTCTCTGATGTTGTCACTAGATTTAGCCAAACTAAACTTTTGATCTTATGAACTTGTGCAGTTTGGAACAAAAGGTTGATGGTTTGACTGATGGAAATGATGGCAACACTAAAGTAAGTGTTTTTTTTTGTTATGCCTGCTCAATCTGAGACAGGCCTCTCCTTTGAATTCTCCTTTGATTAGATGCTATCTATGCATGAAGTTAAACAGTTAAAGTAATAATGGATTTCTTCTACCAGGCAGAGCACCTCACTCAGAGGAACAATGGGTCGGAGAGCATGCAATCTGCTGGTAAGATTAGGCACTTCTCTTTAATTTATATTTTGCAATTGTAATGTGGGACTTTTTCCATCAGGATTTCTGTTTCTGGGTTTCAATGTGGGAGGGCACAATTTCGTGGCCTGTTTTTGCCCTCCATCATCTGTTGGTTTTGTATAGAAAAGGGGATGGTTCAATCCAGTTTTGGTTTTACTTGGATAAGTTAGGACTTTGCTACTGTTTGTTTCATAGTTCATAGTGACTGATTTGTTTCCTTAATTATCTGAATGACAGAAAATGATGTGAAGGTTCATACTCAGGTCAGTCCTACAACTAAAGGGGAAACGAATGAGAATTCCAAAAGTGTTTCCGGTACTGCACCTCCTGCTGTTGGTTATGTTGGAGTATCTCTCGGGCCGCCGTATGAGACAATAGGAATTAGCACAGCTTTTGTTGCTCCTTCTGCTGGTTCTGGGTTTCCTTTTGGTGCACCTGTTCTGGTATGGAAATATTTACCTTATTGATTTTGGTACTACTTATTTGTTTGCAAGCTTATGCCTTTCTACTTCAATTTGAATTGTAGATAATGGTTTAAAGAATTGCGGGCTTTGATACTTCTCTATTTGTTTGTTTTGAACAACACTCAGTTACTGGTTTGATTGAAATCATGAGACTGATGAAAGATTACGGATTTGGAATTTCCTCAAATTTTGTGAGCCAGAGTTAGCTGTGAAACAAAGCCCATCTTAAGACTCTGCAGGGCGGTTATTTGCTGAACCGTTGTTATATTCATGACTTTTGAGTACTGTTGAGTCCAGACTCATCTTGGATGCACCAAATTCTTAGATAACTCTTAGATGTTCTGCTATTCACACTATTGATTCACATGTTGATTTCCTCAGGATGAAAGGCAGATGAAACGAGAGAAAAGGAAACAGGCTAACAGAGAATCTGCAAGGAGATCTAGGTTAAGAAAGCAGGCTGAATATGAGGAACTGGTGAAGACATGTGAATCCTTAAACGCGGAGAAAATGGCTCTTCAATCCAAAATAGAAAATTTGAAAGGGGATTCAGAGACACTGAGGCTTGAAAATGCCACATTAAGGGTACTTCTCAATGTTCTCATAGAATTTCTTGAGCTGTTGGTCTGTTCTCAATTATTTTTTATGTGTACCAAGTTGTCACGTTTTCTTTTCTTTTTAGGGTTGATATTCATTTGTTTTTTTAGTAAGCGGATTCTTAAAGATCAACAATACAAATAGGGTGTTGAAAGAACAAAGTTTCTAGGTTGTTCTTCGTGCAAAAGTTTGGAGGTTGACTTATGAACTGGTAGCATATCCCGAGCCCAAGGCTGGGTTCATAGGAGTGGGCTTTAGGTTAGTTTAAGCTTTTGCATATGCACCAGCAATAGTTACCCAATAGAGAAACTCTAGTATATTTTACCCAAAAAACAGTAGGCACTTGGACAACTATGTTCAGATTGTTTTGATTTCTGATGTCCAGCATATACTTAGAGTAACTAAGCCATCTTCACATTGAATTATCATGTTTTTTTTTCTTTTGGTTGCCAAATATTGACCAAGAGTACAAATTTGCCAGCGTAGTGAAGGGTGTGGTGTTGGGATGGGTTTTGTTGTGATGCGTTGTAGCACGTGCTACAACGTTAAGTTGAACATGAAAAATCGAGGAAAACTGATTTGGTCCATCCTAGCTTGTTTCAACCTAAGCTATATTTACATTCACTTGTAGCTCGATCTCACATGTGTTCTATCTTGTAGGAGAAGCTGAAAAATGCTCAGGCAGTGACGCAAGGAGGGATTGCTTCAGTCAAGATTGAAGTAGACTTGGAGCTGCCAAATGATGCCAAAAATATAATTAGCAACTTGGGTTCTGTAAGCAGGAATGGTGAACTGGATCGCGAGAAACATGAAAGTTCCATGGCTGAAGCCAAGTTCCATCAGCTGTTGGAATCAAACTCTAGGACCGATGCTGTTGCTGCTAGATGATAAGGAAGCTGGTGTTGTCTGCAGCCTCACATCACACTCAGTGGACTGAAAAATCTAATTAACTTAACTTTTGGTTTACGACCAGCAGGTGGAAAACAGGAAATTCCGAGCGGAAGGTCAGAAATAGATGTTTCTAATTTATTGTTCCTTTAGAATTCAACTCTCCTTTGTGCTATGATGTACTAGATTCGAGATTGTGTTGGGGATTTTGTGATGAATTTAGGTGAGGCTAAAACTGTGTTTACATATTATGAACATGAACATTCCAAGGGATTGGTCTCTGAAGTTAAGTGATTCGTAATTGTTACTGCAGACTTCTTGTTAGATTGACAGAGTGTTCTATTTAAAACCGGGTTAAGCATTATATTTTAAGGAAAACTAATGAAACGGACTTGAAAACTTTCAATTTTAACGATAAAGACAAAATAAAAGGTAAAGTGAATAGTATCATGATTGATTTTTTAGTGTAAAAATGTGGTTTTTCGTTAAAGTAAACAGTACCAGAAGCTTTTGGTTAAAATTCCCTATATTTTATCCTTGTACTAGAAATTCGACCATGCCGATGAGATTCTAATTGTTTGGAATTTCGACTGAAAATGTAAATATATGGAATCATGATTGGCACTAGAAAATATCATTACGAATTCCACACTCTCATTTATTTCATTGAGGACTACAATACGACTATTTTTGGAGCATCAATAGCATCTTCATTAATCAATACTAAGCATGTATTACACACTTTGTATGTGAATATTTTTTTTTTGTTTTAAAATGGGAGAGAGAGAGAGAGAGTAGAGAATGTTCCAGTGGTAAGAGTGGTTTTTGCTTTTTGTTTTTTATTTTTTATTTTTTAATATTATATATACATTAAAAATACATATAGATGAGATTTCAATAAAAAAAACATCAAAATTTGATTTTGTGAAAGTATATTATTGCCCATTATTTTTTTCTATTATAGAAGACTAAATAATATTTTTATCCTCTTTTTTTATTAATAAGTAGTTTAAATAAATATCTTGTTTAAAGCTTTAGCACATAATCATATTATATTGCGGTATCCATTCTACGCGTGCTTATTGGAGAAAGTTATGAGTTCAAATGAAGTGATATTTTAAGTTTTTAAGTTGAAGGTGCAAATGGATATAATTGGCCGGTGAAAAGTGCAAGTCAAAAGAGGAACTTGAAAGAAAGCCACCAAGTCCCATCAAAAGGGATTTTCAAAGGTAACTTTGATGGTACCTTTGATTGCACCTAACAATAAGATGTGCACTCCTCAATCTTGCGTGTTGGCAACATTGCGCCTAGAGTTTTATCCATCACATTGAATTTCAACCCCAAATCATCCTTTTCTCTCTCTAGTGCCTTTCAATTCAAAGCTTAATACTTAATAGTGAGACAAAATTGTGGAAAAGAAATTATGGGTCATTCGGAAAAAGAGTTTGGTATGCTAGAATACTGAAAAACTTTCTATGCATTTCTCCTGTGTTTAGGCATCTCTTTTGTGGGGTACAGTTGAAGTTTCTTTTAAGTGCGTTTCCGTTGTGATCCGTCATGTATAAGTGAAAATTAAATAGCGTTTGATGCATATACCGTCACATAATGAGTGTTATTGACATAAATTTATATATTATCGTTTATTGGTATTAAATTATAAGACATATGTGTCGAACACAAGAAAGAATACAATCTGGGCCATGGCAGAATCTCCCCTCGAATATATCCAAATTCAGTACCATCATATTTTTGTTTGTATTGTAACTTGTCCATCAATAAACTATTTGAATTTGCCTTGTTGGGAAGATGAGACTCACTAATCCGTCCCGAGGATAATATTCTTTATCCAATTTTCAAGTGATGAAGGAAAAGTTGCTTCAATCAAATACTTTCATCATCAATTTTCCTTGGCCGATGTCTAATGCAGACGATGTGAATGGTTCACCTCAAATTATGCAGAGCTTATTGAATATATTTTGGCAATAAATTACAAATACATCATGTATTATACTAAAATCCGACATACCGCATTAAGCGCGTGAAAATATCAACAAATTTGCGTATCCATCATTTTTAACTAAAAATTCCGCCGTTTAATATTGTCACATTAATGAAATAGACTCACGCAAATTTTTCTCCACAATCAGGCAATCGAAAAAGTCAAAAACTTGAAATTCCCACTTTGTTCTCGATTTTCCCTTCTTTTGAAAATGGATTAGTTAATTCAGTTAGAGAGGATGGCACGTTCATACTTGTCTATATCACGTGTAGAAACCAGCAAAGACTAATCATGGTTGGTTGGTTGCTAAAGCTTCCATGTCTTGTACGCACATGTAAATACACATAAATAACATATTTTAAACTTGTAAATGCAAGTGGTACTAATTTAGTCTCAATCTGTTCATTACCCTCCTAAGATATGCCTAAGGACTTTAATCTCTTGTATATTATTTGACATTTCAATATTTGTTTATCAGGAGCGCTCAAACGCTAATCCTTTCGAGTGATTTGTTGCATAGATGGATTAGATTTATATTTGATATTTCCGCCCATAAAGGTGTTTTGACCTCATTTCTTCTTAGTCACAGCCTTCAATCTTTCTTTCTGTTTGATAGACAAAACTGTTCCCATCATAAATGCTTTTTGTTTTGGTTTGAAACCGGCCACTGTGCAGGAATTTTAAGACTGTTTGGTTTCATTCATTGGGTAATTAATCATCCTGTATTTCTTTCAGAAAATTTGGATCTGTTCGAAAAGTGAGAGAGGGGAATTGGTAGTTGGGAATTTGGTTTCAGTTCACAGGAAAGTATAGGTTTCGTCACGAGGAAGGTTCCTGTGAAAGTTGAGTTTCAGCTGCGCGATTGAATGACCAGCTAACAACTTTGTTCCCGGTTTGAAGCTGTTTTCTAGAGAGAGAGAGAGAGAGAGAGAGAGAGAGAGAGTCATCTGTTCATTCAATTGATGTTCTTGCTGTGTTCTTGAAATGAATCCTTCTGGAGCAGCAGTTGAATTTTCGAAAGACAAGAATGGAATCGATCAAGTTCATCTTCACAACCCGCGAGGTGCTTCCGTTAGGGTTAGATTCTTTTACCTTCCTGTTTATACAATCAAGCAGCGTCGATATTGTATCAACTTAATCACCTGCGTAGTTCGTTAGGTGTGGGGTTTTGTACAAAAGACCCTAATTCAATTAGAACGGAACCATTCAATATAAGTTGTATTTAATTACGAGTCTAGAATTGCGGATTTTGTAGTTTAAATGCATTCTGATGTCGTGCAAAAACAATCCAGGTGAGCTTGCACGGAGGCCAGGTTCTTTCCTGGAAAAATGAACGCGGCGAGGAATTGTTATTCACTAGTAGCAAGGTGAAGAATTTCTTCAGACTTCTTCATTGTTATCCATGAACTGTTGGGAAATATGTACACTGATCCAAGAGTTAGCTAATATATTTTCTGTTTCGTCTTTGTAGGCGATTTTTAAGCCGCCAAAAGCAGTCCGAGGAGGAATTCCAATCTGTTTTCCGCAGGTTGGGACCGGATCATTGGACCAAAATGGGTTTGCCAGGAACAGAGTTTGGGCCATCGACAATGATCCTCCACCACTACATCCAAATTATTCAAATGGAAAAGCCTACATCGACTTGCTGCTCAAACCATCCGACGATGATCTAAAGATTTGGCCACATAGGTAGCACATATAGCAGCATGAATTCTGAAAAAGTAGCATGCTAATGCTCTGTGTACTTGAAATATTTGTTTGTGACATGATGGTTTGAAACATGTTTTGCAGTTTTGAGTTTCGCCTTAGGGTGTCGCTTGCAGCAGAAGGGCATCTAACACTTATATCACGCATCAGAAACATCAACAGCAAGCCTTTCAGTTTTTCATTCGCTTTTCATACGTATTTCTCCATTTCGGATATCAGGTACATAATCTTCAACTAATCGTAATCTAATTAAAGACTAATTGAAGTTCCAAGGTCTAAATGAATTTAATCTGGACTGACAGTGAAGTGAGGGTTGAGGGATTGGAGACTCTAGACTACCTAGACAACCTATGTCAAAAGGAGCGGTTTACAGAACAAGGCGACGCCTTAACATTCGAATCTGAGGTAATCGTGTTTTCCCAAAACCTTCTCGACTTGTCAGTTGATCCAAAACTCTCCTGCTTATGAAGTGTTATTCATTTTCCGGCAGGTGGACCGCGCTTACCTTAAGTCTTCGGATGTGATAGCTGTTTTCGATCATGAAAAGAAGAGGACATTCACCGTGCGAAAGGAGGGACTTCCAGATGTTGGTAAGAATCATGTTCTACCAAGCAAACTTAGACATATGGATTGGTGACAAATTAAAATCTTGTGTTCTTGAACTTTACATGTACTAGTTGTATGGAATCCGTGGGAGAAGTCCAAAGCGATGGCGGATCTTGGAGACGAAGAGTACAAACAGATGCTTTGTGTTAATGGAGCATCAATCGAAAAACCAATCACCTTGAAGCCCGGTGAGGAATGGACGGGTCGATTGGAGCTCTCTGTTGTCCCTTCCAGTTAAATCAAGAGGCTGCCAATGACTTGCAGGCGAAGAAATAAACCTAAAGTATTACTTGGGGTCGAAAAATTCGACAATGTTTGCAATAAAAAATCAGTAAGAGCATGATCAATACCTTTAATTTTGGTTCATGTTTCTTAATCGATTTCGTTTCGACGGAGGCGGAGATATTTTTGCTTCTCCCCATTGTAGCTGTAACCTGTAACCTGAAAATGTATATGGTTCGTCTCAATTTAGTTGTGGAAATTGTAATTTGTACACCGCATGCACTGGATAGCAGAGACTCAAAAATAAGAGAAAGTTAATCATGTGTTTTGGTGGAATATAATGTCGTTTCTTAATTTATTTATTTTTGTAGAGGATAAGAAATCTTTTGGTTTCACCCATGAATCTAAAATCTGAAGCAGAAGAGGACTAAGTTGGTGTAAATTGTAACAAAGCAAAGCCTCAGAGACCACGAAGAATGGAGATGGAAACTTGAAATGCACAACTTTATCAGAGGCTAGTTTCGGAACAAGATTCTATCCGGAATCTCTTTTTGAGGATCCTAGAGATCGGTTCATTTTATCCCTTCATCATTTATTATGCGATTAGAAATCATTTTGAATTTTAAAGTTAAAATTAAATATTAATAGTATCTAACGAAAGCTGGTCGCACAACACACAACGAACAGCTGAGATGAATTGAAAGCATGTGCTTTATGAGCCCACCACGCTTCCGCTGCACCACCTTGCAGATATACAACTGTGATGGCATATTTTTTG